ACAGCCCAATATAGCACGTGGGATGCGTGGTGCGCAGGGCTTCGGGCGCGTTTTGAGCCGATCGCGGCTTCTATTTCGGCGCGTCAGAAACTGCGCACTTGGCGCCAGCTCGGGTCGGTCCAAGACTACACCAGCGGTTTTCTCGCACTTTGCGAACAGGTCGGCTACATGCACGAGGCGGAGCGGGTGGACCGTTACGTCGGCGGACTGAAGCCGGACATATCGCACGAGATAATGCTACGCGGGCTATCGAATTTCAACGAAATCCTCGCGCTCGCCGAGAAAATCGATATCCTACGCCGACCGAGACCGGGGTCCTATTTCGGACATCGTCCTCGGGGACTGATCGAGCACGCCACCGTACATGCCGTCGCAACGAATGCAGCTGCCACGCCATTTAGAGGGCGCTGCTTTGCTTGCAACCGGCCGGGCCATCGCAAGAGCGAATGTCCAGAAGAGCTGAGGCGTCGAGGAGCAGAGCAGGGGAGGGAGTCTCAGAGGCAGGGAAACGCCAGCAGTCAGTAGAAATTGGGCCAACTACTGACGAGACTGCCTGCTCGCCCAACCACACCGACCCTCACCGAGTCACAGTACCGATTCACGCCATCGATCGGGCTCGGATGAATAAGGAGGGTACAGCGACGGATTGCCCAGTACTGATCCACGGGAAAATACAGGGAGCAGCAGTCAAGATTTTCATCGACGGAGGAGCTAGCCACAGTTTAGTTAATACCGCAACCGCACGAAAACTTCAACTGACACTTAGCCGATGTTTACCTGAGATTGATGCGCGCTTAGTCGACGGCACGCCGCTGGCCATACGGGAGAAGGTGGAGAGAGTAAAAGTTCGCTGCGGGGGGAACTTCGGGTTTACACAGGAAATGCTCGCGACGACACTGGATGGGCACGACATTTTATTGGGACGTGATTGGTTGCGACGTTACAATCCGAGAATCGACTGGACGATGGGCAGCTGCACTGTGCGAAGTAGTGGTAACTGGGTCGAACTACCACGCTGGCAGTCGCCTGAGTCATCGACGGTCCACGTCGACGCCATCACAATGAAACGAGCAGTCGCCGCTGGAGCTGACGTGTATGCAGTAGACATCGCAGTGGTAGAAAAAGATGAGCAGCCGAGTGATTTCCAGAAATTGCTGACAGCGGTACCGCCGGAGCTACAAGAGCTATTGAAACGGTACCCGGGAATTTTCCCCGACGACTTACCGGAAGGACTGCCACCTCAGCGGGCGCACGACCATAGGATAGAGTTAGAGCCGGGGGCACAGCCAACTGTACAGCGCCAGTTCAGACTGACACAGCCGGAGCTCGACGAACTGAGGAAGCAGTTAGATTACCTGTTAGCAAAGCAGTTTATCCGACCGAGCTCGTCGCCGTTCGCCGCACCGATACTATTCACACCAAAAAAAGACGGAGGTTTTCGCATGTGCATCGATTACCGAGCGCTCAACAGGGTTACAATAAAGTCACGATACCCCATTCCCCGCGCCGACGAACTGATCGACCAACTGCGAACAGCACGGGTGTTCTCGAAAATAGATCTACGGGGAGGTTACCACCAAATTAGAGTCGAACCATCGGACTGCGCCAAGACAGCTTTTAGAACTAGGTACGGGTCGTTCGAGTACACCGTGATGCCTTTCGGGCTAACCAACGCACCCGCAACATTCCAGATGACCATGAACGAGGCGTTTAGACCACTTTTAGATAAGTGCGTGATAGTCTACCTCGACGACATTCTCGTCTACAGCCGCGATAAGCAGCAGCATTTAGCGGACCTGGAAGCAGTGTTTAAAATTCTCGAGGAGCATCGTTTATTGACTAAGGGGTCTAAGTGCGAGTTTTTTCGGGATAGGTTAGAATTTTTGGGGCACGTTATTTCAGAGGCTGGGGTTGAGATTGACCCGAAGAAGCTGGATACGGTCAAAGCTTGGCACCCCCCGACAAACATCACGGAGCTGCAGAGTTTTTTGGGTTTCGTTAATTATGTCCGTCGATTCGTCCCTGACATGGCCCGCTTAACTGCCCCACTGACGGATCTGCTGCGGAAAGGGGTCGCTTTTACGTGGGGGGAGAAAGAGCATGCTGCCTTCTCTACCCTGAAAACTGTTCTCTGTTCACCACCTGTCCTGCGCATTGCCGACCCACACCGCCCATTCGAAGTCATTACTGACGCAAGCGACATCGCCATCGGAGCCGTACTGTTACAGGATTTCGGGAACGGCCTACAGCCCATCGCATACGAATCACGAAAACTGCACCCACCTGAGAAGAATTACCCGATACACGATCGCGAAATGCTTGCGATCGTGCATGCGTTCAAAGTGTGGCGCTGTTACTTGACCGGCGCAGACGTGACAGTACGGACAGACCACAAATCTCTACAGTACCTCCGCGCACAGCCTCACCTCAACCCACGACAGATTCGATGGCTCGATTTCCTCGAGTCGAATTTTCACTACACGGTCACCTACAAAAAAGGAGCATCAAATATCGCCGATGCACTGACTCGCCCTACTGCCCAGATTCACGCGATACTACTCGCCCAGACCAGCCCACTGCTGACAGGCCTATTTACCCACGAATACCAAACCGACCCGTTCTTTACAGGAGGCAACTCGCAGCAGTTCGCAGCAGCACGAGGGATCTATTACGTAAAGGTTGGGACCGACCGCATTTGGGTACCCGGGTATACACTACTACGGGAATTACTGTTACAAGAGGCACACGACGGAGTTACCTCAGGACATTTCGGGGTAGAAAAAACACGACAGCAGCTGCAGCGGTATTATTACTGGCCAGAAATGTTGACCGACATCCAACGACACGTAGCATCGTGTCCCACCTGCCAGGTCATGAAATCATCACGGAAGCGGCCGGCAGGACAGTTGCAGCCGATCCCACCCCCAGAGCGTGCTTGGCAGCAGGTGACGATGGACTTCGTCACGGGGTTACCGGCCGGGGCGAGTGGGAACGACGCGATCTTGGTCGCCGTCGATCGACTGACGAAGATGGCACATTTCGCAGCATGCAAGAAATCAATCACAGCCGAAGAAACAGCCCGCCTCTTCATCACCACCGTCGTTCGCCTCCACGGGATACCATCGGCAATCATCAGCGACCGCGACACGAAATTCACCAGCAACTTCTGGCGGAACCTGTGGCAGCAGTTCGGCACACGACTTCAATTCAGTTCATCCTATCACCCCGAAACCGACGGACAGACGGAACGGACAAACCAAACCATGGAGCAGCTGATTCGAGCCACGTGCGACGATCCGAACACGTGGGAACATCAGCTGCCGCTCATCGAGTTCGCGTACAACAACGCACCATCAGCCACGACGCAACAGTCACCGTTTTACCTGAACTACGGACAGGACCCAACAGTACCCATGACCCCACACCCCGACAATCCAGTCCCACGAGCCCAACAGTTCGCCGAGATTTTGCAAGCAGCACGGACCAGGGCAGCAGACGCAATTAAAAAAGCCAACATCATCGCTAAACGAAACGCCGATCGCCACCGTCGACCTGTCACTTACCAGCCAGACGACCTGGTACTACTCGATACCCAGAACCTCCGCCTGCCCATCACTCCAAAACTTCGCCCCCGATATTGTGGGCCATTTCGCATCAGCCACATGATCACACCCGTCACCGCCCACCTCCTCCTCCCTGCTGACTGGTACGTCAGCCCGTCATTCCACGTCAGCCTACTTCGCCCTTACATACCATCCACGAGCCAACTGCCACGAAATCGCCCAGCCAGCATGACACGTCCCCCAACCGAACCACTAATCACCCCTGAAAAAATCCTCAGCCACCGAGTCCGCAACCCTCGGGGAGCACGACGGATCGAATTCCTAATTCGCTGGAAGGATCGAACGCCCACAGAAGACAACTGGGTCCCCCTGGATAAAATTGAGAACCACCCTGTCTTCACCGAGTATCTGCGAAGCCGAAATTTCCGCGACGTCCATGCGCTCTCGTAAGAGGGGCCTCCTTGGGGAGGGGGGTAGTGTAAGGAAATTCCCTTTTCCTTACTTCGCGTCCCTGCTCAACGCGTACATCACTGTAGCACCTCAGTCAGCACCGTTACCACTCGCGACCATCGCATCATTCATCATCTCGCCCTTTTCGCACATCGCATCCCGACCTCACGGCTCGGCTGGTAACCCGCGCTCCGGGCCTACGCTTCGACACTTTCCCAACCTCAGTCCCAGGCTCGTCGCGCGACAACCACAGTCCATTACCGTTACCACTATTGCTTCGCTATATAATCCTTCGCTCATGCCTTCGCTCATTTGTACTCCTGCTTCGATAGTGCAATTCTCATTCGTTCACTCAATTGCACTCGTAACACTATCCCCCACTTTGCCTATGGGGGTGTGTTAAACTATGTTTCTATGTTGTAGGCTGCAGTGGGGTAGCCTCTACTGAGTACAACACTTTAGGGTTAGACCTTGCCCTACTTATACTCATCCATCCTTACTAGTCACCCATTCTTGCCCATTATTTTCTGACACACAAATTCATCAGTGTTGCTTCTGCAGAAAAAAATGTTGCTGGGAAAAAAGCACAGAAATTTCAGTGTCACGAGCTAAAAAATGCTGAACAGTCATGACCAGTGCACTAAACTACCCTGAACAGTCATGACCAGGGAAACCCTGAATTATCAGGGCCAGCGTCCCTACAAATGAATCTGCGGGAATGCTTCGTAGATGTTGGGCATGTGGCGTAGCCTCAAAATCGATAAAATCTGGTATGGTCTAGCCTGTCATTCCAAAAGTTGGGGTTGCACTAGACGTGATGTAGCATAACCCAGGAAAAAAAGGCAAAAAACTTGTATAGATTTACAAAATGTTACAAGGACTAGGGTCGCCCACTCGTTACCAGCTGAACTACATGGTTCAGGCACATGGATCGGGTGCGATGTCGTGAATGGTAGCTGAGGGGCAAAAGGTGAATCCGACGAAGCATTAAAGACAGGTGCTGCTCGGACGATGGCAAAAGGGGAGAGAGGCGAGAAGGGAAATTCATGTTGGCAGTGTGGTGGTGCATGAAGGTTTGACATTCAGGCATCAAGAGCAGGTATGCATAGAGAGAGAAAGAGGGAACGTGAGGAGGGAGGAAGAGGGAGTATGGGGCGGGTGGAAGAGAGGAAAGAACAGTGGAGATGGGGAGGGATAAAGTAAGGAGAAAGCAGTGAGGTGGGGAGGTAGGAAGAGAGGAGAAAGCAGGGAAGGCGGTGTAGAAGGACGAGAGTAAAAAACAAAGAGCAAGAGCCAATTAAGGGGAACGTGGAAGGGGGCGGTGGAGTGCGGGCAGCAAGCAAACAGCCATTCTGCTGCCACTGCTCCAGCCCCTGCTGCTGACAGTGCTTTTTCAAATCTCTAAAGCTCTTGTACTCCCCAACTCGCTCCCTTCCCTCTATTCCTCACACCCTCACGCTCACACACTCTCTCACCAGGCTGTGCGCTCCTCTCCCTCGCCAACCCACACAACCTCACCTGGGTTGGCATCTGTTTCCCATCCGCCACCCACTCACCAAATGGCCTGCCCCAATGCTCCCACTATTCCACAGCACTCCCCTTCCAACTCCTCACCAACTCCACCCCATTAACTCGGCCAGCCTTCTTCCTCACCTGGGCGTGCAACTGCTCAACTCCCGCCACCCACTCGACGGCACGAGCAACTTGGCCGGCTTGGTGGTTCCATTGCAAAACATCACAGACGCCGGAAAGTTTGAGCCGCCTGGAACTGTCTGCAGGAGCAGCGTGTTAACGGACGTAGCGCAGCCCGTGTTGCCCACAAAGGAAGATGCGCAGAGGCGGACAGACGCCCCGCTGTAAAGTCCTGAGACTGCGAACAGAACGCCGCCAACGCCGCAGGTGCTGGTAGGGGGAACGCCAATAGCCTTGTTGTCCCTGAAGACGACCTTGTTGAGAGTGAGGGAGGCGCCGTTGGAGTAGATGGCTCCCCCAGCCACACCTGGATGGATGGAGGGGAGGGTGAAGAGGGTGGGATGGGAGCAAGGGCGATGGTCGAGTGGCAGGATGCAAGGGCCAGTGTGGAGAAGAGGTTGTGGAAGTGCAAGGCCGAGAAAGGAAGAGGGAGAGGGAAACAAAAGCAGCGAGACCCTTGCTTGGCGCGGCAGCAACAACATCCCCATCATGGACCGAGGAGAAGGAACTGCAAGAGGTGCCATGGATGGAGGGAAGGGGAGGTGATTGGAGAGAGGGAGTGCTTTTTGAGAGAGGCCTTTCCCAGAAGCAGCCACCCGCTGATGTGTGTTGATGATGGATGGATAGTAGTGGACGCTATTGGGCTAGATGCTGGACCTGCAGGATTTTACAGGAGTCAGCATCACTCACAGAAAACAGTATACTCATAAGTGCTGGTTTTCACTCCCTCTGGTTTGACTTTTGAGAAGACTCAACGGTGCACAGAAACATGCACACGCATGCACACGCATGCACACTCACACACACTCACCAGCGCTGTTCCCATCAAACAGGCATGACTTGAACACAGCTTTGCTTGTCCCCTCCATCGCAATCACCCCTCCACGTCCCTTGGGCGCGCTGTTGTTCCTGAAGTAGCTGCTCGCAATAATGAGAGAAGGCCCCTTGCCTTGGGGGTTCCCCGCGTTGATGCTGAAGGCGCCACCCCCCCCAATTGGCGTCGTGTTGTTGTAGAAGGTGCAATAGGAGAAGTAGCGGTAGGAAACACTGTTTGTCACAGAGTAGGAGTCGCTGGTAAGTTGGGGGGGGTGGGGGGCAATGGAGAGTGTGTTAGGGATTAGGGCGGCCATCAAGCAAGGTTTGCTATCAAGTTGTCGTGTACGGTGCAGTGCAGCATGAGTAGAAAAGAGAAGAGTTGACTGAAAGAACACTTGAGCATGGTATCCATCCATCAATGTACCTTGCTATGGAGCATGCACCATACACACTCTCACGTGTTGACTGTTGCTCCCCTGTGCCATACGTACTCTCACGAGCAGCATGCACTCCATCACCTGTCACGCCCACTCTCACCTGCAGCGCATGTACTCTCACCTGCATGATACACACTGTCACATGCACTCTCACATGCTCCACGCACGCTCTCACCTCCACCACACTCTCCCACATGCACCACACGCTCTCACCTGCGCCACACACATACTCTCACCTGAGCACCCCGCTTGCTCCCTCCTTTCCCCCCCATCACCCTCACATAAGGACCCCGCTCACTCTCTCATCTTTCCCCCAGCACTCCACTTCCGTACCTGAGCACCCCTCCGCCACTGCTAGGACCCTTGTTGCGGACGAATCCGCATTCAGTCGCGTTGATTCTCGTCCGCACGTTGACAAAGACGCCCCCTGCCGCATCCTGAAATGTGAGGTTGCGCAGGGTCAATATTCCCCCAGTGGAGCCAGACGACGGGGACTTGAATATGGGGAAGGCGTTACCTCCGCTGATGATACACCTGGTGTGGGGAGGGGGGAGGGAAAAGGTGTGCGAATGAATAACGACGGAACGAAGCGGGTTGGGGAGAAGAGAGAGAGGAGATGGATGAAATCGATGACCATGGCGATGGTCGCTGCAACTACTACGATAGTGGTGACAAGATTGCTGGAGACGATCCCAGATGGCAGTGCAGAGTGGTCGATAATAGTGGAGGAGATGATGACGAGGCGAGCATCTACAGCAGCGCAAGCAAAGGAGCGTCGAAAGTGTGGCTTCTGAGATGCCTCAACTGTCGTTGCAAGTGTGGCTTAGCCTCAAACAGGTGTGAGCTTGCAATGAGCCACCCACCCGGTAACCCTGTACCAACCTGTCGACGGCACACGCGCCCATGATGGTCAGCACAGCTGTTCCTTCGAGTGCGGGGAGGGGGCTGGGGGGAGGAAATGGGGAGGAAAGGTGGGGGTGAGAAGTGGTGGGATTCGAAATTGTGGGCTAGTAATGCAGAATAGGGCAAGCCAAATGAGAAGAGGAGTCGTGGATGCGGTCGGTACTGGGTAAGTGGCGTTCGTGGCCAACGGGCGGCATGACGTACTCGTCGCGAGATGAGACATGTGCAGACGGTGGATCGGTGGGGAACGGAACTCACGCTGTGAGATGCACGTTGGATTTGAGAACGAGCTCCGTTGTACCTCCCCCCTGTATTCACGCCACGTGGACACAACGCGAACATCGTGGTGGATGGAAACGTTTATTAGAAGCAGGGGCTGCGCATGTTGGCGCTGTCCACAACACAATCCTTCCTCTGGCCCGTTCAACAGCCAGTCATTACTAACGAAAGAACCAACGAAAGATGATCGATGTGGTGTACCCCTACCAGGTTCGCCGTTTTTATGGCATCTTCCAGTTCAGACGCTGCGATCATCGCGGGACCGTAGATTATCGAAATAACCAGCGATGCGACAAGGAAGGACGAGATGTGCTGCCGTGCTGTGACGGGTTCTGTGTGACAAGCCATTCTGAGACTGAATAGTTAAGACGGAAGATAGCGGCCAGAAACTCTCGTGAGCGGAAAAGCTCAACGCTTCGTCAATGATATCTGCGAAGGAAAACCCTTGCGTTTAAATACGTGAGGGGGGGAACCAAAGATAAGAGATGTTCAAGATCTTGCCGTGGTTGTAATGTACAGTCCACGAAACTCGCAATGCGCAGTTCTTTCCTTCCTTAAACGACGCGGTGCTTAATCTTTACAGGCGACATTTGCGGCGATTGGGTTCAGTCCACCGCATCGCAGCGCAGGGCATGGGTGTCAAGCCTCCCGGCCGCCGCAGCGCGAATGACGGCTATGGGAAATGGAGGGGTGGGGGGATGCGTTGGGCATCTGCTCGACCGTGCTGGAAATACATGTGCTGGCGTCTGGCGACACTGGTTTAGGGCGCGTTTCTGGCTCGTGTCAAACTTCCTGTCAACCTTCGCGTTTTCCGAAACCAGGGGTATTTTAGCCGGAAGACCCGAAGTAGGTCTCGGATGACCCAAAGTGGGGCCGAGTGTGGGGCAACTTCGTGTCATCCCCGGAAGACCGGAAGTATGACACTAGCCAGGAACGCGCCCTTAGATTGCTGCTAATTGACCGCACACACGACATTTGGATATTGCAGTAAATGACGTGGCAACCTGAAAACTCCCCTGGATAGTGGGACAACCGCGCGATAATCACGGTTGCCCTGGATTTGCGGGGTATCACATTCGGATTAGAACTGTTATGAGCTGTACTAAACAGAGTGCGCGGAAGACTATAAAAAGGATGAATTCCAGAATGAAGATTGATTGAATAAGGCAAGCATTTATAGGGCGGATATGTGCAAGGCGAGAACCTCGTGACGTGCGAGGATTGGGTGTGTCCCGATTGGGGTGGGGCGACTCGGTGGTGGTTCGGGGCGAAATGTAGGCCGAACCGGAAACTGACGCGCAGTGTTCAGGGCTGTCCTAGCTCGGAGCAGCCTCTACAGTAATGAATTGTAATTCATTACACTCTCCCACCTTCTAGATAAGCCCCCCTTACCTGTAGACGAGTCTTGCAGTAGCATGGAAACTGCATATCTCGGTCGAAACTGATCTGACGATGCAGAAGCACATTGACTTTCGAGTAGACGCGTGGCTGAGCGCGCTGACCAGGCGAAACTCGAAGGGTTGGAATGTCAACCGTTGATATTGTTTTTTTTTTTTTTTTTTTTTTTTTTTTTTCAACGGTAGTTATTGTAATAATGAAGAAGAAAAGAAAAGAAAAGAGAAAGGGAGAAGGAAAGTGAAACCGCCAAGAAGAACCCAAATGCAACACACATAAAACCCCCCCTCAAGATACCCAATCAAAACGCCCAGTCAAGACACCTTGTCAAGACATCCCATCCCACACCCCATTCCCCCCCCCCCCCCAATCACAACAGCGAATCCACCATGTACGGGGCCTCCACCCAGAGAGCCCCGCCTTCCGCATCGCCATCGTCCCACTCCCGGTCCACCAAGTCAACGTTAATCCCCCCCATAGAAGACGCCGCTCGAAGCAGGATGACACGGGCTTGCGCACGTTGCAACGCCACCCCGATGAGCGCCTTTAGTGACCCTAGAAGATAAGCCGAAAACACAGTGTCGTCCTCCCGACAAGCCCCCCGCGACACAGCTAGCCCCACGTGCGCATCTCCCTGCTGACAAAGCCACCTCCGAAAGCGACCGCCGAGACACCCCCACGTCTCCACTATCAGAGGAGTGAACTGCACGCCCCGGTTGCGTGCAAGCAGAGGCGCGTAATCGCTCGTTTTACGACGCTCCCATTCTCTTGCCGCCACGCCTATTTGACGCCCGCACTGTCCTAGCAAAGATGGAGACAGCGATAGCGGGTCCGCGACGCTGATCTCCAAGGCGTGAGCCTCTCCAGCCATTGGTCGTCGCACCGCCACATCAACCCGCTTCCCCTGCAGCACCACACTATCCTCCATTGTCACCACCCCCCCAGACGCCTTAGAGATCTTCGCCACCGCAAACTTCACCTCATCATGTACCCGAGATGGACCATGCTGGTGCTTGCATCTCAAGGCATGATGCGGGTCTGCTGGGTCAACATATGCTGTGCCACAAACACACCTCCCCGCCACCTGCAGCTGCTGAATTGGGAGCCCGAGCCGTATAGCAGCAGCAATGCCCCACTCCGCCGCAGTGAATGTGAGATCTGAGTGAGCCGGAACCGCCGAAACCCATGCACCAGCCCCCGGGCCCTGAAGGGATGTGAAACGGGCCAGGGTGGCATCGTCACGAGCCGAGCGACGCAGTGTCTGGAGCTCCTCTACCGCCAACAACCGCTGTCGCGCCTGGAAAAGCCGAAGAGGAGGGGCCGCTACGCACAGAGGTAAGCCCGGCATCTCCTGGCGTATAGTCGCAGGCAGCTGCTCAAGAGCCTTGGCAAACCACGGGTCAAGAAACTCCGCCCCTGCCGAAGTGGTGAGGTACTCCGCAAACATCGCCTCCTCGCCCGCCACACCCAACTGTGCAATATCACGCGCGGCCTGCGCCCACCCACAAACATAGGACAGCGGACTCAAAGAGGCTGCTGCCCGGATCCCAAACCCTCCGAGTCGCACAGGGAGATGCAGCTGCATGCGCGCGCGCCTAGACCGGTCGGGGTCATGCTCCCAAGTGCCAGGTGGGAAAAGCTGCTCAAAGCAATCCTCCAGACAGCTATCCCAATCCCTGAAGGCCTCCACCACCTCCGGACGCGGCGGCATAGTCCGGGCCAGGTACATCGGCCGTGCTGAAACTGCAATGGCGAGGAGATGTGAAGCCATCTGGGGGTGGTCGAGCAGGGGGAGCCATGGCAATGGCGCTTGCAACTGTCTAAGCCGCTCCCGTAACCGGGTCACCTCCCAACCCTCCTCCCCAATAGGCACGCCCACCACAGTGAGACCCTCCTCCACCCGCTGCATCCCCAATGGCAGTGCCAGCTCCACATCCCCGCCCTCGCGCTCCCAAAACCGGCACTTGTGTGCCTGCACCTCCAGCCCCACCCATTCCAACCGCTCCCGCAGCACCCCAAACGCATCTAGAATCCTAGCCGCCGGTCCCAGGATATAGGTATCGTCTGCGTAGCTCAGGAAAAGTAGGTCCCTGAACTCTCTAGTCACCGACTCCATCACCTGCTGCTGCGTGAACGCGAAAAGAAAAGGGCCGAGCGGGTCCCCCTGCCGCGATCCTCGTGCCGACTCAAGGCTCTGTACAAAAGGGCCCGCTCGGAGGTACAGCTCGCTAGGTGTCCCGTAGAAAACACGTAAGAATGGGATCAACCCTGAGAAAGGCGACTCCCGCAGCCCCTCAAACATCGCATGACGGTGAAACGAATTGAAGGCGTTCGCGACATCTATCTGCAGCGCACACCAGTCGGGGTGAGTAGCCAGCGCTGACCGGAAAGAATGGGTAAGAATCTCTACCCCGGCCCTAGTGCCCGCTCCCAGCTGGTTGCACGGCAGAAAGTAGGAAGCCATCGTAGGGCGGAGCGAGATGCAGAGAGCTCGAGCAAGGATACGCGGAAGCACTTCCCCAATCGCGACCGGCCGGACGTCGCCGTTAGGCTTGGAAAGCCCAACTAGGTTGGATGCGGCGAGCCAGGGCCGAGCCCGCTCGGGGACCTGTCCCGCCACCCATTGGTTGAACACCTCCAACAGGTGGGAAAGGCAGGAAGGTTCAGTGAGCAAGGTGTCGCGCAGATGCTCTGTGACCCACCCCGATGGCCCTGCTGCTGAAGCGCGAGCGGCTGTATGGATAGTTCTGGCTAGGATGTCGGCCGTGAGTGGAGGCCGCTGAGGAGCATCGACGGTGAAATCACGGACCCACTGTGGTACCTCGCTAGTGCTAGCAGGGTGCTTCTCTCGCAGCGACTGCACCATGGCCTCAGACGGCCGGGCCAACTCCCCTGCTGTAAGGCAAGCCAATCCGCGGCTCCACTCTCCCACTTTACACCGAGATCGGCACCGTGACAGGCGGATGGCATCCGGGTCCTGGTCAGAGCAAGTGTAGGCAAGTGGGCGTACTGCTGGCCGCGCCGCCACCATGGCGGAGTCGAACAGCTCCCGCCACCTCCCCTCCCAAAACGCCCCCAACCGCTCTATGATCAGCGCCTTCTGTCCTATGCCTGGCTTGGGAGGCACGGCTAGGATGAGGCGCGGAAAAGCCAAGAGTAGGAGGGTAGCGGCTTCATCCCCCGGCCGGCTCTTCAAACGCTTTAAGACGCAACAGAGCGCGTCTAAGACCCCCGACCGAGCCCGCTGTGGGATCCGGCGCACTGTCCTCCCTCCAACCGCCTCCACACTGAAAAATGCTTCCCATTCCCAAGATGTAACCCCGGCCCACGCCTCGTCCCCAAATTCCCGCGGCGTCGGTCGCTCCTGCCTGTCGGTCTCCACCAGTGACGGGGTCGAGCCAAGTGCCTGCGCGCGCCTCTCCGCCTCAGCCGCCCGGCATACCCTCATGTGGTTCGCAGCAGCCCCTCGCGTAGCGAACGTGTGAAAACACGTGTCACACGGAAAACGAGGGCATGGGGAAGGCTGCATGGGAGGTTCTTCGTCCGCCTCTGACTCCTCCGCAGTCGCCATGGGGGTATCAAACTCCAAAAGTCGGCACCACTCCTCTAACTGGTGCTCCCGGTCGTCCAATGACTGCCCCCCTGGCTGCTGCTCTATCTGGGGTGCTCCGGTCACCCCCGGCTGCCCCCCTGGCTGTAGCACTCCCAGGGGTGCTCCGGTCGCCCCCGGCTGCCCCCCTGGCTGTAGCACTCCCTGGGGTGCTCCAGTCACCCCCGGCTGCCCCCCTGTCTGTAGCACTCCCAGGGGTGCTCCGGTCACCCCCGGCTGCCCCCCTGGCTGCTGCTCTCTCTGGGGTGCTCCAATCGCCCCCAGCTGCTCCCCTGGCTGTAGCGCTCCCTGGGGTGCTCCAATCACCCCCGACTGCCCCCCTGGCTGTAGCACTCCCAGGGGTGCTCCGGTCACCCCCGGCTGCCCCCCTGGCTGTAGCACTCCTTGGGGTGCTCCGGTCACCCCCGGCTGCCCCCCTGGCTGTAACACTCCCTGGGGTGCTCCGGTCACCCCCGGCTGCCCCCCTGGCTGTAGCACTCCGTGGGGTGCTTTGGTCACCCCCGGCTGCCCCCCTGGCTGCTGCTCTCCCTCGGGTGCTCCGGTCACTCCCGGCCGCCCCCCAGGCTGCTGTGTTCTCTGGGGTGCTCCGGTCACTCCCGGCTGCCCCCCAGGCTGCTGTGTTCTCTGGGGTGCTCCGATCATCCCCGGCTGCCCCCCTGGCTGTAGCATTCCCAGGGGTGCTCCTGTCACCCCCAGCTGCTCCCCTAGCTGTAGCGCTCCCTGGGGTGCTCCGGTCACCCCCGGCTGCCCCCCTGGCTGTAGCACTCCCAGGGGTGCTCCGGTCACCCCCGGCTGCCCCCCTGGCTGTTGCACTCCCAGGGGTGCTCCAGTCACCCCCGGCTGCTCCCCTGGCTGCTGCTCTCTCTGGGGTGCTCCGATCGCCCCCAGCTGCTCCCTTGGCTGTAGCGCTCCCTGGTGTGCTCCTGTCACCCCCGGCTGCCCCCATGGCTGTAGCACTCCCAGGGGTGCTCCGATCACCCCCGGCTGCCCCCCTGGCTGTAGCACTCCCAGGGGTGCTCCGGTCACCCCCGGCTGCCCCCCTGGCTGTAGCACTCCCAGGGGTGCTCCAGTCACCCCCGGCTGCCCCCCTGGCCGTAGCACTCCCCGGGGTGCTCCGGTCACCCCCGGCCGCCCCCCTGGCTGTAGCACTCCCAGGGGTGCTCCGGTCACCCCCGGCTGCCCCCCTGGCTGCTGCTCTCTCTGGGGTGCTCCAATCGCCCCCAGCTGCTCCCCTGGCTGTAGCGCTCCCTGATGTGCTCCTGTCACCCCCGGCTGCCCCCCTGGCTGTAGCACTCCCCGGGGTGCTCCGGTCACCCCGGGCTGCCCCCCTGGCTGTAGCATTCCCAGGGGTGCTCCTGTCACCCCCAGCTGCTCCCCTAGCTGTAGCGCTCCCTGGGGTGCTCCGGTCGCCCCCGGCTGCCCCCCTGGCTGTAGCACTCCCAGGGGTGCTCCGGTCACCCCCGGCTGCCCCCCTGGCTGTTGCACTCCCAGGGGTGCTCCAGTCACCCCCGGCTGCCCCCCTGGCTGCTGCTCTCTATGGGGTGCTCCAATCGCCCCCAGCTGCTCCCTTGGCTGTAGTGCTCCCTGGTGTGCTCCTGTCACCCCCGGCTGCCCCCCTGGCTGTAGCACTCCCAGGGGTGCTCCGGTCACCCCCAGCTGCTCCCCTGGCTGTAGCGCTCCCTGCGGTGCTCCGGTCACCCCCGGCTGCCCCCCTGGCTGTAGCACTCCCAAGGGTGCTCCGGTCACCCCCAGCTGCTCCCCTGGCTGTAGCGCTCCCTGCGGTGCTCCGGTCACCCCCGGCTGCCCCCCTGACTATAGCACTCCCAGGGGTGCTCCGGTCACCCCCAGCTGCTCCCCTAGCTGTAGCGCTCCCTGGGGTGCTATTGTTGATTGTTGAAAGCGAATGTCGAGTTAAAATCCTCCGATGAATGAAAACCGTCGATGTGGCGGATCGTTGTCGGACGGTAGAGATGAACGCGCTAGTGGCGGGAATTTTGACACGCTGTCAGAGGTTGATGAATCAGGACCCGTCGATGTCGATGGAGTACTTGCGAGCGTCCGTCGTGCTGGATGTGTCAGACACAACAGTCAGAAAAAACTGACAAGTACAGTGCGAGTGCACTTTGTCTCCCACCCCTTTGAAGATAGGGTTGCGCACCAAAATTGTACAGCTGCGCGGGTAGAATATTCAACCTTCCTGTATGCCGGGGTTCGTTAAGACCACCAAGTGTAATGAACTCCCCGCTGAATTTTAGCAGCTGCCTTTCGAAGTTGTAGTGGGTGGCGTAAGGTCACTGGCTTGACCTTTTAAAACTCATCAGCAGGGCTCTCGTTATCAGACCAAATCGGTCTGATGGTCTGATTTTCAGACCTTGAATTTTGATTTCATCTGATTTTTAAGACAGTGCTTTTTATTTTGTCTGATCCGTAAGACTAGTGATTTTAGTTCATCTGTTTTTTCAGAGCTAGCTTTATACTTAGCATGAAATTTCAGATAGCGAGTTGCTTTTCGTCTGACACCGACCCCCACTTCCCCCCAAATCCCTCGCTCCTTCCCCTCAACCCGCCCCCCCCCCCCCCCTTCGATGCCCTCGCTCCTCTTCCAGGACAAGTCCAACCCTTTTCTCCCTTCCCCCCACCCTGAGGTCCTCCCCAGATCCCCTCCCCTCTCCCAGCCTAGCCCGCTTCCCCTCCCCATGTCCCTCATCACGTCGAGTCTCGCTCGCAGCCCAGCGCCCCCCGTCCCTTCGGGTCCCTCCACCTGCAAGTGGCACTTGTCTTGGTTCCTCGCAACTCCTGATGCCACGTGCATACAATTCTACAACAGCCCCTCTCCCCGCCTAATTTGGCACACGCCTGTCAGCTAGCCAACACTTAGAAGGTGTCTCATGTCACTGGTCCGCCCCGACCTGGTCCGTTGCTAATTTGTGCATGTCGGGTCAGCAATTCTGGTACGACGGACCCACTTCGCGGACCAGCCGTGGACTAGATACGAGGTGGTCTACATGATACATCGCGTCAAGGGCTGTATAGTATTTGCGAAAAGAAATACGAACGACGCGAATCATTCATGTTCAAATCGCGTTACCTCCTACTTTTTGCTAGTAAAAACTCCCCATCCCGTCAGGAGCGACAGTCTCGAACGGCAAAAAATTTCGCAAACAAAGTGAGAGTTGCTACAGTTACGGACCAGGCGCAGGCTGGTCTGGCGACCAAATCAATGGCACCGCTGTAGTGCAATTCGAACGTGGTTAAAAGTCCCGCATCTCGGCCAGTGCGTCGCTGGTTCACTGGGTGGTTCTAGAGCTGGTCAGCAGGGTCCGTGTCGGACTCAGGTGGATCCGCACATTTGAGACACGTCCTTAGGACGTGTCTCGGTTCGCCACTGGACGGCTATGATCTGGTGGGGACTGATCTGATCGGGTTGCCTTTGTTTGAATAGCGCGCGCCACCCGATCAGTTAAGATTTTCTTCGAACATTACACGAGGGTAGACGGTGTCAAACTTATATGCTATAGTCTGAGTAGGCTGTAGTGGGGTAGACCATATAGGGTACAATATTTCTAGGTTTTCCTACTTGTACCCACCTCTTTCCTAGTTCATTCATTCCTCATTCTTCACATCGTATAGAGCAGGTTCCCTCGTGGCAACGCTTCTCAGGGCCCACCACTGAACTCGACTTTTTTTTCCAGCCCGAGGCGCGCCCCGTAGGCCGCCCTGACGTCGCGCCCTCCTAGAGGCCCCTCTCAAAGCACCTCGCGCCACCCTTAGCGGCCCTGTCGCCACCCCTTACGGCCCCGTCGCCGTCCTTTGCGGCCCCATTGCCGCCCCTCTAGGCCCCTCACGGCCCCTTCGCAACTCCGTCGCCGCCCCTCTAGGCCCCTCGCGGCCCCTTCGCGGCCCCGTCACCACCCCTAGTGGCCCCGTCGCCGCCCTTCGAGGCCCCTCGCGGCCCCTCTGCGGCCCCGTCGCCGCCCCTATCGGCCCCATCGCCGCCCCTAGCGATCCCGTCGCCGCCCCTAGCGACCCCGTCGCCGCCCCTAGCAGTCCCGTCGCCGCCCCTAGCGGCCCCGTCGCCGGCCCTAGCGGTCCCGTCGCCGCCCCTAGCGGCCCCGTCGCCGCCCTTCGCGGCCACGTCGCCGCCTTTCGCGGCCCCGTCGCCGCCCCTAGCGGCCCCGTCGCCACCTCTAGCGGCCCCGTCGCCCTTCGCGGCCCCGTCGCCGCCTCTACCGGCCCCGTTGCCGCCCTTCACGGCCCCTTCATCGCTGAGCCGCCCAGCAGCCGAGCCGCCGAGCCGCCGAGCAGCCGAGCCGCCGAGCCACCCAACGGCAGAGCCGCCGAGCCGCCAGCAGCCGAGCCGCCGAGTCGTCGAGCCGCTACTGTCACTGCCGAGCCGCTGCCACCGCGGTTACATCCCTGTTCCTACCGGCACGCCCCGGCCCTACTCACCCGGACTGGTGAGAGCACTCCCTGCTAGACCAATACTGTCATGGCTACCCCCAGTGTCCTTACCTTTGATGCTGAGGGTCGTGCTGTTGACTTTGAGGTCTGGGTCGATGACTTCCAGCTTTTCCTACAGTGCGATAGGGCAGACGGATTCTCCCTGTTTGATCTCACCTCTGGTGCCTCTCCTGCCCCGCCTACTGATGCTGACAGCACTGTTCGCTCACAGTGGGCCACACGCGATGCTGCTGCCTGTCTTGCTATGCGTCGCCACTTACCGACCGCTGAGCGTGCGCACTTTAGTCAGTACAAGAGTGCTAAGACCTTGTACGACGCTGTAGTTGCACGCTACTCTTCCCCTGCCACTACTGCTCTTAGCCGCCTCATGCTGCCGTACCTGTTCCTTGACCTTGCTGCCTTTCCCACAGTCGCTGACCTCATTACGCACCTTCGCACTAGTGACACTCGCTACCGCGCTGCGCTTCCTGCAAAGTTCTGTGCCAAGAACCCCCCCCCCATGTACATCACCCTCTACTGCATAGTCACCTGGCTCCCTGACTCCCTTCGCTTAGTCAGGTACCACTTCCTCTCAGTTTGCCCCACCACACTCACCGTTGACCTCCTCGAGGAGTGCCTCCTGGCAGCAGAGAAGAGCATAGTCGCTGTAGGAGCCTCTCGTGGTGACCCTCGTACCCGAGTCTTTGAGGGGTGTTCCCCCTCCCCCCCTCTTGCCCTCTGTTGCTTCTGCTGCTGCGGACGACCTCGTTGGCTTCGAGTCGGTCGGCGCTGCGTCTGCCCGTAGTGGGAGACGCCGCACCGGCAAGGGCAAGGGGAGCAAGGGCGGTGGAGGGGCTGGCGGGGGCGGTGGAGGTGGCGGTGGAGGCAGTGGAGGGGGTGGGGGTGGTGGTGGGAGTGGTGGCGGGGGTAGAGGTGTCGGTGACAACAGTGGAGGCGGAGGAGGCGCCGGTGGTGGCGGTGGGAGCAGAGGCGGCGGAGGTGGCGGAGGCGGCGGCGGCAGCGGTGGAGCTGGTCGCGGCTCTGCGCAGAGGAGTGGTTCCGGTGGTGGTCCGCGCCAGCAGCAGTAGCGCACTCGTGAGACCCCGTCCCCCCAGCAGCTTCGTGATTGGTACCTGGGCGTCAGCGAGGTGAGGGTACTCCCTGCACCTACGTTCTCCGTACCACCGACCGCGCTGGTGAGCAGTGCGGGGGCCCGCACTCCACCCAGCGCTGCTTCGGCCGCCTGACGGACGCGTGGCGTCACCAGTTCCCTGACGCCACTGAGATCCCTCGCTGGGGAGAGCTGTCTAGGGCGGGGGTTGCTATCTTTCATCTTGATTATGATGCTATTCTTGCTGCCATGTATGCTGTGTCTACTAGTGATGAGGGTGACTCTTACCTGTGTGTACCGCCTGACCCGGGCATTGAGGCTACTGCTCTAGGTGCTGGTGAGGCTGCTGCTCTAGGTGCTAGTGCGTCTGCTGCCCCAGGTGCTGGTGAGTCTGCTCTCTCAGGTACCACGTCGGCTCAGGCCTTACACACCTTCACCCTTGACTCGGGTGCTTCCCGCTCCTTCTTTCGAGATCGCATCACCCTTACGCCGCTTAGTCGGCCGGTTGCGGTCTCCCTGGCGGACCCCTCTTGGGGTCCTGTCCTTGCTCGCTTCTCCACTGTCTTACCGTGTCCGACAGCCCCCTCTGGCACTCTGTCAGGTCTCTACCTCCCCTCGTTTTCTACGAACTTGGTGAGTGGAGCTAATCGACAGAATAGGGGGGTTGACCAGTTCACTCCTGCGAGTCAGCGGGTGACCCACTGCACGTGTGCTCGGACAGGCTGACACTTGGCCACGTTTACCCGTCGGCCAGGGTCGAGCCTGTACACAATGACTATTGAGTCTCCTCCGGTTGCTGAGTCTGGTCAGGGTGCTGAGTCGGGTCAGGTGTTTGCTGCAACGTCCAGGTCTGGTCCTGAGTCTGCTCCCTGCTCGTGTCGTCTCCTGTCCCACCAGACTCTCCTCTGGCACCACCGCCTTGGTCACCCCTCCCTGCCTCGTCTCCGAGGCATGGCCTCCCGTTACCTTGTCTCTGGTCTCCCCCGGTCCCTCCCTCCCCTCCCTCCGGGGCCTGCCCCTACCTGCGTTCCCTGCGTCGAGGGGCGGCAGCGCGCCGCCCCTCACTCCTCCTAGTTTCCTCCGACAGAGGCTCCGCTGCAGACTCTTCACATGGACGTGTGGGGCCCCGCCCGCGTCCGTGGCCAGGGTCACGAGCGTTACTTCCTGTTGGTGGTTGACGACTACTCGCGTTACACCACGGTGTTCCCCTTGCGCAGCAAGGGTGACGTCACTGAGGTGTTGATCGACTGGATCCGCGCAGCTCGTCTCCAGCTCAGAGAGAGTTTCGGCTCGGACTTTCCTGTTCTGCGTCTGCACTCTGACAGAGGCGGGGAGTTTTCCTCTGCCCTTCTGGGAGCCTTCTGTCGTGCACAGGGCATCCGCCAGACCTTCACGCTTCCAGCCTCTCCACAGAAAAATGGGATTGCTGAGCACCCCATTCGCATGGTCATGGACGTCGCTCGTACGTCCATGATCCATGCGGCTGCTCCCCATTTTCTGTGGCCGTTTGCGGTTCAGTACGCAGTGCATCAGATCAACCTTCAGCCCCGGGTCTCCTTGCCAGAGACCTCCCCCACCTTGCGGTGGACGGGGAAGGTTGGGGATGCGTCGGCGTTCCGTGTCTGGGTATCTCGGGCGTTTGTCCGCGACTTGTCTGCGGACAAGCTGTCCCCCCGTGCTGTTCCCTGCGTCTTCCTTGGCTTCCCCCCCAACGCGCCTGATTGGCAGTTTTACCACCCCACCTCGCGCCGTGTTCTGTCCTCCCAGGACGTCACCTTTGACAAGTTGGTGTCTTACTACCGTCTCTTCCCCTAGCGCACTGCGCCCCTCCCCCCGCCGCCGCTCTTCCTTGCGCCAGGTCCCCCCGCAGTAGACCCTCTCCCCCCTCAGGGTCGTGCCCCGTCAGGTGTGTCCCAGGTAGACGCACTCGAGCCTGTCGAGGTAGCTATTGACTCTGGTGCTGCTAGGGGTGCTGAGCCTGGGGGTGCTTAGTCTCGGGGCACTGAGTCTAGGGGTGCTGAGCCTGGGGGTGCGGAGCCTGGGGGTGCGGAGCCTGGGGGTGCTGAGCCTGGGGGTATGGAGCCTGGGGGTGCTGAGCCTGGGGGTGCGGAGCCTGGGGGTGCTGGGTCTGCTCGTGTGGCCTCTGGCGGTGCTGGGTTTGGGGGCCCTTCGGGTGCTTCGTCGCGGCGGGAGCTACCCTCTCCAGACGAGCTGCGTGAGTGGTTTGCCCGGCGCTGGAGCTGTGCTGCTGGAGCTGGAGG